AGCATCTATAAGTTTCTAAAAGATCTTAATTATCCTTTTTGAAAAGATAAGATTAAAGAGTTTGAAATTGGATAAAACTATTCTTTTTGAAAATCCTATTTATATCCGAATTGAAAGACGTTCAAAGATAGACAGATATTATTTTCTTTCCTCATAGTTTTTATCCAAATTTTATATGGTTGGATATCCCTTGAAATTACATTTCCAATTATATATTATAATATCAATTCCGATCTATAACGGAAAAGATATGAATAAAATGTCAAACTCTATCCAAAACTGACACCGTCTCACTATTTTGGCTATATATTTTGTTCTACAAAATATTTTAATCTGATTCTAATTGGGTTAAAAAGTAGACTTCAAGAGCTTTTTAACCATATATTATTCATCTTATTCCGATTTCTGATTCAAAAGATATGATAAAAACAAAAACCGCAAAAACTGCTGTCTATCGCAAGAGTTTTATCCGATTCGAATTCTTATCTTTTCTTGATTCGACCCCTGTTTTCCCCTTATAAATAGAGGTCATATCTCCCCTTTTTTATTCATAAACAAGCTTGATCATCAAATCCTTCTCTATTTCTCTCTTTTACACCAAAAATCATTCTCTTCTCTCTCTCCCATATTCTAAGCCTTAAACCTATATTTCTAATTCTATCATTTCTTCCTTAAGCACTCCAAGGAGTTCATACAATACCCAAAGTTCTATACTGTAACCAAGGAGTGAAAGGTATAAATAGCTGAGGGTTTGGACCAAATCAACTCTACTTTTAATTTAATTTAATTTCTATTTGATTTATATTTTTATTGAAGTTACTAATAGTTTATTCATGACGTAGCAATTCAAGGAAACGCGGAATTGGAGTAATTAAATTAATCACTTAATTACTATTATTTTTATTCTTATTTCTAATATCATGATTAGGGTTATTATTATTATTTGATTTGACTAACAATTTATTGTTAAATTGCTTCCAATATTAATGTTTATTCTATTATATTTTTTATGATCACCATATTGCATGTTAAAGGGAATATGTAATTGAAAATCATGCCTAATAAGATAATTTGGACAACCGGCTTAGGTTCCTTTTTAATCTTGTTATTAAATCAAGTGATCACAATATTTTAGAATTATGTGTTGCGTTAATATTCAACCAATTTAGCATAATAATAGTTTGGAACAAATTGAATTTTTGTTTGTATGCCTTTGAGATCGCAGGAATCACTTTTCACTATAAGAATCGAGTAGAGGCCAATACGGGCGAATGTGACTCCATGACTCACTTCGTACCATCATCCCCGATCCTCCTTTCGTGGTTCTGAACCATATGGAGTTAGTAATCTCATGGATTATGAATAGGGTGTAACCTTCACGGGTCAATCGTTGTTGCCTTCGTTGTCCCTTTATCGTGGTTGTCTTTTATGCTCCGTGAACGGTTTACAAGTTCCTTAAAAACTTGTTGGCGGCTCCCTACTTTCCTTGTCCCTAATCGTTGTCCCTAATCGTATATGTCAATTCCCACTTCCTAAGAGTGCCAAGCATATTCACCACATGCTTTTAACGTAGGCGCACTTCGAACGACGCCTACACGCCCAGACTTCTTTTCTTTTCTTGCTCTCTTCTTTGTTTTTGGCCGGCTGAGCTGACCGGCTATCTTTCTGTTTGTCGGACTTCTTGGAGTCCGACTGGCTACCAGGCGAGCAGAGGTCGGTAGCCTGGATGTAGCTTTCCGCCTCCCTCAGGGCCGCTTGTAAGGTGAAAGCCCCTTTTCTGACTAGGTCGAACTTGAAGGTCGACCCGCCTCTCAGACCCTTGAAGAAGTCTGTAAAAGCTACCTCGTCAGACAGTCCTTGAATCTGAATTCTGATCAGCTTGAAACGCCTGACATAGGAACGCAACCCTTCTCTCTCTCCCTGCTTAACAGTGCTCAAATCAAGGTTTGTTTTCTTAGCAGGGATATTCATTGAGAAGTTGGAAGCAAACAAAAAGGCGAGCTTCCTGAAACTATCGATGGACCCAGCCGGCAAGTTGCCAAACCACTGTTGAGCAATGCCCTTCAGTGTAGCCGGGAAGCACCGACACCAAGTGGCATCATCGAACCCCTGCAGATACATGAGGTTGGTGTAATCCATGAGGTGGTCTTCCGAATTGGTGATACCGTCATAGGTACCAACCAACACATTCTTAACCTTGGACGGCTGAGCCGCCTCGGTTATCTCCCGGGTGAACGCAGAAGGCTGTTCACCCAGGCGCAGCAGACGAAGCTGCCAGTCCAATGGCTGGACATTTGGATATGCCGCCTGACCTCCAAAGAGGGCCGGCTGCATAAAGTGAGGAGGATACTGTCCGTAAGCCTGAGTAGGCACATACGGTACAGCTCCAATCATGTGAGGGCCAGAATGGACGGTATTACCGCCTGTCTGACTCTCATGCAAGGAAGATGCATTCCCGACAGAGGTATTGTTGAAGCTGTCTGGAAAGTTCGACGTTGAAGCTGACTCAAACAACGACTAGTTTCTCCTCCGGTTAATGATCTCCCGGGCATCAAGAGTTGATTTTTTACTTCTCACCGGCTGTTGAGTCCGGCGGGTGTTATTGTTATTCCCCTTGGGGAGAAGAATTTTGGACCAATCAATGGTTCCGGCTGCCTTCTCCTTTGGATGGGGAGTTGGCTGCCGATTTTTGACTGACTTCCCCTTTTCCAGAGAAGTCTTCTTGGCCGACTGACCTCTACTTGGGCCAGCCCGGCTCTGGGTGATCAGCTCTTTAATTTCACCCTTGAAACTTGTCATGAATCTCATAAGCTCGTCCCGGGTGACAGGCGCTGATCCAGCTGCCGTTTGGGTTTCCCCTTCCGGCTGCCCAGGGGGTCCACTTGCACCCGCCTGGGAGGCACCCCGCTCCAGAGTCTCTCTAGGCCGGATGCGCTTGATTCTGAGAGAGTCGTCTTCGGCTGTAAAGGTTTCGACCTGAGGATCTTCATCCTCATAATCTGTAAAGACTTCTGGGTCTTCACCCAGACGGTTAGGGGGTGGTACAAACTCTTGAACCATCTTCGAGGTACTCTCCCCACAGACGGCGCCAAAATGTTTTGGGTATTTTTGTCCCTCGGGAGAGTTACAACACGAAGACTGGTCCGAGGTGAGCTGTACCTGCAAAACAAACGGAGACACCAGATGGGTGGTGCTCCGCCTCCGACGCACAAATTAGAAACTGGAAGGGAGAAAAAAGGTGCGAAAATTTAGGTAGGGATCTGCTCGGATTCCTAGCTCAGGATGTCTTTATCAAAGAGTAAATGTGTAATAAATGATCAAAACGTGTCCCCAAAAAGAGGGTCATTTCCCTATTTATAGGGTCTTTGGGATTTGTGCCCCTGATTAGGTCACTGTACCCTAATCAGTGGTGGGCTGCGCCGCTTTGCGGTTTTCTCGGGATTTGAGCCTGAAGGCCGCCCTTTTTTCCCTTATTTTCTGGAGTGACACGTGTCAAGCAGAGATCGGTCCACTTTGGGCCATCCTGAGGCTGACACGTGTCGTCCTCTGATTGGACCACGTGGCGGGATAAAATTACTCTAAACAGTGCGATCTAGGGATGCTAATTAAGTGAGTTGATCACGAGCTAAGGGGTGCTCGACTCGGCTCAAAAACTTTTTTCATGTGCTCACCTCATGCTCATTAAAGTTTCAAGCCAATAAACCTCTGCTCAACTCGTGCTCGATCGATAAAGTTTTGACTTTCGTGTCAAGTAGCTCACGATCTGATCGTTGGAAAGAATGAATTTTATCATTAAACTGAATATTGGACTAAACTTTACTAGACTGGACTGAATGTTGTTTCTTAAAATACAACATTAAGTCACCAATTGTCTAGTTTAATTGGTGTTTCTTTAAATGGTGTTTCTTAAACTAAACTGGACTAAAATAAACTAAACTGGACTAAGTTGCTCACAAGCTTATTGAATCGAGTTAGGGCTTGCTCAACTCGTGCTCGTTAACATCTCGAATAGAGCCAAATTGAGCCATGTTTTGATCGACCTTTGACCGAGTCGTGTCCGAGTTACTCAATTCGATTAACTCCCTTAGTGCGGTCTTTCAATTTCTGTAAGAGGGTTAACCCAAATCTTTATAGTTTTGTCACAGTGTAGAAAAAAAGGTGATCTAGAGTTTGTTATGTTGATGGTATAGGACAAAATTTACAAAAGGAAAAAGATTTATTCTTTTCTAGATGGTGACGTGCAATTCTTGGTAAGGGAATGTCCATTACATATAGTTGCTAAAATTCGGTTATAGAGGAGTGGTCATAATTTATAAAGTGTCATGTAGTACGTAAAAAAATCTTGAAAATTTTATTATTTGTATATGCAATCCTAATAATTCGTTACCCATATTGTTTATTTGAAAACAAAAAAGTCTAAAATGAAACTAAAATAGTTTTCATTATAATCATGAACTAGATTAACCCCATGCGATGCACGGTTTTAAAATAAGAATTGAATTATAGACTTTTAACACATACAGAAAGAAAATAACTACTTCCTTAGTTTTCCTAACTAATTTCTAATCAAATATGAATATACAATTCCCAAAAGTGCATAATTTTCATATTTGATTAGAAAATTTCAATTAAATTATATTATTAGCTATTGTTAACAACTCGTAAATAACTAAATTTTCATATTTAATTTCCTAACTATTATTAATAAATAACTAAATTTTCATATTCAATTTCCTAACTATTATTAATAACTACTTCCTCAATTTTCCTAACTAATTTCTAATTAAGTTAATTGAAACCAAAAAAAAATACAGAATATAGAAAGGAATAAAAAATACGTCGCCTGAGAGATTCGAACTCTCGCGGGGATACCCCATGTACTTAGCAGGCACACGCCTTAACCACTCGGCCAAAGCGACATTTTGATGCTACCTTTTGAAAAGTAAAGGTATTTAAATAAAGAAAAAAGTAGGCAATAAGTGGTAGTTTAGCAAAGAAGAAAAGCAGACAAAGGCAAGTGGTGGGTGGCGTTGGAAGAAGAGAAAAAGGAAGAGGCGAAAATGGCGGCGTCGGGAGGTGGCGGTGGTGGTGGTGGTGTTGGGAATTTGTCCGGCGGCGATCGAGAAATTCTAGCGACGGTGAACATGGTTGCTTCAACTTTGTCATTGATTGGATCTAGCTTCATTGTCCTTTGTTACATTCTTTTCAAGGACCTTCGCAAATTCTCCTTCAAGCTCGTCTTTTATCTCGCTCTCTCTGTAACATTCTTTCTCTCTCCTAACAATTTCTTTTTTCAATTAACAATCACTGCTATGTATCTGTCAATTGCATTTTTAGGTCATTTTTTACGATTTCCTCTCAGACTTCAATATCCATCATTTTCTGATATTATTTAGTAGCCAGTAAGTTTATTTGGATTACGTTGTGGTTTGATTTCTGATTGCAGGACATGCTTTGCAGTTTTTTCAATATCATTGGGTATGTTTGTATGTAATGTCCAATTGTCCATCGCATCATTTATTATACTGCTCATTCATGTACTTAAATTCTATGATTAGTTGTGATATCTACACACACTGTGTTAATTACAGTGTTTCCCATTCTATGTAGCGATCCATCTACAGGCTTCTTCTGTTATGCTCAGGGTTATAGCACTCATTTCTTCTGTGTCGCGTCATTTTTATGGACAACCACTATAGCTTTTACCCTTCATCGTACTGTTGTGCAACACAAGACTGATGTTGAAGATTTAGAGCCTGTTTTCCACCTCTACGTATGGGGTATGCATGTTTTCCATGTCGATCTATCTTTTGTTGTTATGCCCTGTCCATTTCTACATTGTCATCATTCTCTTCAATTCATCACCTTGGTCTGTTCGCCTTATCTCATTTTCTTACAGGCATGGCAATGAGTCTTGCTGCTTATCTTTTTTTTCCTCGTCTTTAATTGAATTGAGTGCCTTTTGTATTTATTCAGGAACTTCTCTGGTCATGACTATCATGCGCTCTATCGGTAATCATCATAGTCATATACGTGCTTGGTGTTGGTCCCAAACAGGCCGTGCAGGAAAGGCAAGAACAGAATGATATACCTCTAGTTATTTTGTGATAATTTTGAATAGTTCTAGACCTTGTTAAGTTGTTAGCTTCCTGACCTTAATGCAATTTGGTTTAATTAATTTATGAATGTTTACTTCCATCTTTTCATAAGTATCATACCTAATGCGTTTACTTGTTAAAAAAAAAAAAAAAAAAAAAAAAGAACTCCCTTTGGTGACCATTCCGTGCTTTTGACATGTGAATGGGGAATAGCTAATGAGAAAGAAGATAAGTGTAATTGTAATTTGACAGACATTAATTCGTCTTAACGTGTTTTCAAATCAGAATATTGGCTACTTTTTTTTTTGAAAGGAGAATGGCTACTTAGCTACTAAAAAATGAAGTTGACGGCTCATTTCTTAAATGCTTGTGTTTGATGTTAATCCGACTGTCTTAACCCGCAGGTTGTCCACTTCGGAACATTCTATGCTCCACTTTGGGGTGCGATTCTCTACAATGGTTTTACATATCTTCAAGTGATTCGCATGCTGAAAAACGCAACTCGTGTATGTACTGACTCATGCACAAAAATGTTATTTCATTGCACAGACCAATTAACTCTCTCATGCTGATCATTCTAAGGCTAAATATTGAAATGCCCTTGTTATTTCAGATGGCAGCTGGCATGTCGGACCGGGCACACCAATCTGATGCTAGGCCAGACATGAGAGTATGCTTTAGTTTGCTGTATCTTCTCTGCCAATTGCCTAAATCTTTGATGCATTGCATTATTCATGTCATTAGCTGTTCTTCCATGTTTATCACATCTGCTTCATGCTCTATTTATACTTAATTTTTTTTTTCTCTTTGCAGATTTATTAATCAAATTATAAATTTTATTACTTGTAGCCTCAACTGTCTTATACCTTAAGTGTCATGGTTTCTGTATGAGGCTTTTCTGCTGTCTTACACAACTTCTTATGGGCCTTGTAGCTCATTACTACAAAAGGAAGCTTTAGGCCCATATTATACGAAGAATTAGATGGTTACATGAACATACTTACCAATGAATATTGACTGATTGCTTTATTATTTTTGGAATTTTTTTTAAGGTCTTGCTAACCCTGGCGAAATCTCAATTTTCTTTTTTTTTAGGCCTTAAACCGATGGGGTTATTATCCTCTTATACTTATTGGCTCATGGGCTTTTGGCACGATAAATCGTATTCATGATCTGATTGAACCAGGGCATAAAATCTTTTGGCTTTCTTTTCTTGATGTGGGGACTGCTGCACTGATGGTAATATCAAGTTCTTTTTGATAATTTTACTGGATGGAAAGAAAGGGGTTTATTCTTCTGTTTTTGCTATTTTTGTGCAAATTACAATTGATCCTATGCTGTACCAGGCAATAAAGCTGACTCTTCAAATGTCTTGATCATGTGATTCATGTCCAGCATTCTTTTGTCTTTTTATTTTATAATTATTTTGTTTACAGCCAGATTTAGTTGCCTAGGTGGATCCTCAATTTACAAGATGCTACACTATGAGGTTGTAGGATCCAAGACAGACCGAAAACATTTTTGGGCCCCTCACTTTAAAGAATGCTACACTCTGAGGTTGTAGACTCAGTTTGTACTTTTAGGAGTGTCATGGTTCGGAAATAATAGTTACAAGTATACTTATAAATAATGGGATGTCCGGAACAACTATACTTGTAAATAATGGCTTATGATTGAATTTAATGATATGGCATTATTATATATATATATATATATATAAAACTTTTTGTAAAATCACGTTATATTTAAGGATGTCAGTGGGGTGGGTCAAGTACCCGCTCCATCCCCGCCCCAGTGGGGCAAGGATGGGTCTTGGTTTAGCGGGCTATGGGGCGCGGATGGGGATAATAATCATACCCGCCATGGGTGATGGGGTGTGGGTGGAATTTACGTCGTACCCGCCCCGTCTTACCCAATCCACTTCGTACTCGCCTCATCCCCATCTCACACCTACATCTATATATTTTTAAAAACAAAATTATACACTATTATGTAAAATAAAATAGTAGATATAATAATTTGTAATACACTAATATTATAACTAAATAAGTGTGTAACATTAACAATTTTTTTTTTTGTTAATCTATATATTAATTATGTTGGATTGTGTATTGGGAGGTGAGGATTAGGCGGGTCTTAGGTGGGGATTAAGTGGGGATGGAAATCCAAGTGGGGGGTGGGGCTGGGATGGGGATGAATTTTGGACCTGCCGCGGGGATAGGATGAAAATTTTAGGTAGGGATGGGAAGGCCAACATCCGCCGCGCCCTGCCCCGCTCAATTTACATCGTCATATTCTTATATAAAAAGGATTGGGACAATGTAAAAACTGTTTCTGGATAGGAGAGATTATTTGTTCACTTGTTAGTTGTATATACTCCATTTTGTTGCAGTTTATTGATATTCAGAATCAGGTTCATCTTCTATTGTTTGGTTGTTTGTCAGGGCCTTTTCAACTCAATAGCTTATGGTCTCAACTCTTCTGTCAGGCGGGCTATTTATGAGAGATTGGATCTGTAAGTAAAGGAAAACTACAAATATTTTATCTGATCTTAGTCATATAACCTGTGAATATTCCTTTGTTATTGGAGATTTGGATTAATAAACATAGTTGCTGCTAGAAATAGTTATATGTTAGAATTTTAGCTAGCAAGTTTAAATGTATGTTTGGTGGTGTCCTCTGTATATAGTTTTTTTTTTTTACCATTCCAATCATCTAGTGCCACAATCCTATTTTGGCTCTTAAAAACTCCTTCACTCTTTTTGTTGCATGCTTCATTGTGCACTGAACTGGACTTTAGTATAGGCAGCTATTTGATACTCAGATGCCCTAAAACCCACTTGGGGACTTCTAATTGCACCAAGCATACAAAAACATCTGGGTGTATTCATATTCACCCCTTAGGCACATTTGTCTTCTTGCTAGGTGGAATTTCAACAATGTCACTAATATGTGGATTGTCAAGTAGCACAGCTGTAACTTGTGACAGCAGTTAAATCTATCCCCATCCCCCTGGGTTTTTGTTTTCAGAATACTATTTCTGCATTTAGCTGATACCTGTTACTGATTTTGTGGTCTGATTTGTTATGCCTCTATTACTCATCAGAATTTGGCCTGAGAGACTGAGAAGATTGGATTTGCCACTTCGGATTTCAAAAGTTAGAGGGAAACAAGAGGAAAGTGAAATGGTCCCCCTAAAATTTCAAGAACAGCAACAATAATTTGATACCTCTGGGTCCTGTTGTATGATTCCTTGAGAGTAATGGGAAGTTTTAAGGCACAAACAAGGGAGTTTTCTCTTGTATACATCACGGTATGAGTTCCAGCTTGTGGGAGATGTTGACCTGGTGTAGCAGACTAGCTTCTGAGACTTGAACTTTGTCCAAATATACCTTCCAAGTTGCTAACAGTAGGCCAGCATTGATTGATTTTCGAGGGGAGGGTATCGCTTCATTTTGGGTTATGCAAGGATGTAAAAGATTTTCTGGTCTAGGGTAGCCTGTGACGGAGTGGCAATTATTTTATTTCTTGATATGATTTAATGATGTGGTGACAACTGGTGAGAGCAATTGCAGCAATCATAGGTCTCCCTCTCTTGTGGTAATTTTGATCTACATTACTAGTGTGATTTAAATATTCTCTGTTGTATAAGAGCTATCAAAAGTGTTTGCAATTGTGATATTGGGGTATTAGATTTGTGCGGCTATTCTGCAAGTCAACCATTTGGTAGAGCTTTTGTGACGATAGTGCTGAGAAATTGAGGATAGCTGCTCCAGTGATGAGTCATTGCTAGTGTAGTGACTGCAATTCTATTATTTTGTGGCAAAAGAACATGATTGTAGTTTTTGAATTTTATAGAAACAAAAATATGACTTCTGTATTTTCCGTACCTTAATTGTGATCATATAGTCTAACTAATAAAAGAATTAAATATTAACTGTAATATATTGTTGATATTTACTTGGTACAAGTATTACATTATTATAATTTTACTAAAATATAATTGCATACGAACTACGAAGTACAGTATTATTTTGTCAAACTTAAAAAAAAAAAAAAAAAAAAAACAAACAAAAAAAAAAGAAAGTGACCTTAGTAGTTGATGTTTATTGTATAACTAGTTTTGTGCCCCTGCGATGCCTGGGTTGTTTATAAAGTCTATTTAAATGTAACCAACGTGGCGCGACACTCAAATTTTATTTTATCAAAAATAAAACTTTAACTAAACAATTTTATCCTAAAATTCTATTCAAAATAGAATTCTAAACTAACTTTTTTATCTTATAAAGTCAATTTGAACCTATCCAACGTGGCGCGACACTTGGCGAAAAGTTAGAATGCCAAATGTCGTTGGCTCGTGACCTGGCTAAAAGTTTAGCTTTATATATATTAGTTATATATGATTAACAAAATTTATCAAAACATCATTGTTTTAGGTGGGACCTGACTCAAGAGAAAAATAAGTTTTATTCAATGGGATTACATACTCTGTATGAAGCATTGTATAATAAAGTTCTATACCTATATACCGTATAACATAACCAATGCCCCTTTGACTAATGTTAGTGACTTTATACAAAAAAAAAAAAAAAAAAAAGGAAATTGTGGGCACTCGTTGGAAATGTCTTAGTAAATAAAGTATATATTTCCCCTGTTATAATTATTATTATTTATTAATGCTTAGAGATACAGGCCATGTTTGGTAATTGGCTTTTAAATGGCTTTTTGGTTAGCTTTTGGCTTTTGGCTTTTTAAGGTGGTCAAATAGCCAAAAAATGTGTTTGATAATTGGCTTTTTAGTCAGCGAAAAAGCTGGCTTTTAAGCCAAAATAAAAAAGCTGCTTTGAGTAGCTTTTTTGTTAGCTTTTGGCTTGTTGGCCCACAAATTATCTAATAAACAGCCAACAACCACCAATTAATTTACCAAACACTTTTGTAAACAGCCAATTTCAAAAGCCTATAAACAGCCAATTTCAAAAGCCTATAAACAGCCAAACATTCCAGCCAACAACCATTTGCCAAACAAGGCCACAGTATAGCTGGTATAAAATAAAAGTGAAATTAGTGTATGAAGATACGTACAAAGTTAGGCAAGGAATGCGGAGAGTAGAGTTGACACATAAAAGAGGTGCGCGTGAGTGATATACTGTCCGTCCAGCTGTGAAATGACTATATTTATCTCTACGTTGATTAATTATACAAGTACGTAGTATTAATAATAATAAAAAAAAAATAAAAAAAGATAATGATGAAATGTTGGGTTGCAACGATGAAAACTGGAGATTACGGAGGGAGAGAGTCGTAATAAGTTAAGGAGAAGAGAGAGAAAAGAAAAAAGAAAAAAGAAAAAGAGTGAGTAGTGGTAGCCGTAAAACCAAGAGAGAGTTGTGATAAAATCGAGTGGCAAACAATACAAGGGTTTGCAGGCTCAGCTAAGAGCCTTCCTTCCTTGACGAACAAAGATAAGAATTTGAAGATTGTTTGGTATAATTAATTGTTGAATTTTGGAATTGGAATGGATCCCTTTCATCTCTTATCTTTCATCATCGACTTTCGTAAAGGTATACTCCGATTTCATCGCCTTCTTTCTTTTTAAATCTTGCAATTAACTACACTATTTTTTATTTATTTAATTAGCATGTGTGTTGTGATTTCATCGATTTCTGTTGTCAAATTTCTTCAGATCTCCTTTTTCGCCTGCTACTCCTTTTTTTTTCAATCAATTCAACTTGCTAATATTGATTCATCGATTCAATTTCGTAATTCTCTAGGGTTTTCAGATTTTGTATTCACTTGTGCAAATATGTGATTTTTCCTTCTATGGAGTTAATCTTTCTAATTTTGATGTTGATCAGGTTTTGGGTAGTCTTTGACAAAGTTTTAAGACTTTGTGTTTTTTGAATTCGGAATTACGCTACTTGCAACTCTTTTTTCACTCCATATTCGTAAATAATGAGCTTTTCCAAACAAGTTTCTCCAACCAACCTGAGTTCGGCGGCCAAGGCTACCTCTCTTAATCCAAATGCTGCCGAATTTGTCCCCTTTTCCCTTCGAACACCTTCCTCCGGTGCTTCTGGATCCTCTGGGAAACAGGTGCTCGATCGATCTGAGTCCTCTATTTCAACCAATTCTGATGAAGAATCCCGCCAGTACTGGCAGCAGCAGCTGCCTGATGACATCACTCCAGACTTCAATGTCCTTGGGGAGGACGACCACCGTGGACTTGGTACCCTTTCCCTTGCTGCCTTGTCATTGCATGCTGGCGCCACCGCAACTGATGCAATTAGGTTTTCTGCTCCCTTGGGTAGTCCCTACAAGATTAATGAACCTCTCGACTTTACTGCTCATCATACAAATGGTGCTGCACTTACCGATAACATGGGCTATCCCATTTCTCTGTATGCTGATGATCCATCATCAACCACTTTTCTTCAGAGAACCAGTAAGCCTTGGGAAATGCAACTTCTCAGAGCTGACCATCACTTTGGGAATGCCAGAGATGGGAACTCTTTCGATGAAACTACAAGACGCGCCAATTCTAGTGATATAGCTACTGAAACTGCCATGCTTGAGAACACTGACATGAATCCTGTTGAGTTCCTTGTGTCACAGTTTCCAGGTTTTGCTGCTGAAAGCCTGGCCGAGGTATATTTTGCCAATGGCTGTGACCTCAATTTGACGGTTGAGATGCTAACTCAGCTTGAGGTATTTTTCATTCTTCACCACAAAGTAAACATTTCCTTCAGTTATTGTTACTAGATTGTTTTATCAAGCATTACCAAATTCATTAATTGGGGGTCCTTTTGGCCTTATTTGGATGTGTCTGTTGTTACATATTTGTGATTAGTCAAATGAAGTGGGCATTGGAAATTATGATGTGAATCGTATTGGAATTCTGTGCCCTTAATTCAGTGATCTTGTGTGAAATCTGAATCTCATTTCAACACTTATGTCCTATCTAAATTAGTGCTGGCCTTTTAATGGTTAAACTCAGATCTTGATTTATCAAAATCGTTGGCTCTTTTTTTAGTTAGAAAAAAATGAGATGTACTGTGTAGCTGTATTAAGATTACAGTAATTTCAGACCTTGTATATCAGATCTAAGATGAATTTTAAATTTGCCTGTTTTGAGGTACCTAAATCGTTGGCCCTTTTACTGGTTATAGCTTAGTTGTTTAGTTAGATTTGGCTCATACTTTTACTGTGTTTAGTGGTGAAAGTTGTATTAACATGCCTAATGGCTACATTGTTTTCTTTTCGAGCATTTTTGACAAATGTCCATTTTTTTTATGACACTTGATAACAAAGTTCCTGTTTGCAATTTGCCTTGCAATATTACATCCAAAATGCAATGACATTACTGCAGTTTTCAGTAAGAATGAAGCAGAACAAAGAATAAGCATATGCAAGAATAGATAGGCTTTTGGCCTGATTGGAAATACTACGTAGATTATATTTTCATTATGATTATGCGTGAATCACACCATTCACCACAAGGATTCTGCTGTACAACTTTTATTCAGCTGTAGACATTTTGGTTTAGTAGTTGCTTTCTATTCCATTATGTTTTGTGCCATCCTATTGCTTGATATCTAGTGATATTTTCCTACATTTATGATGCACTTTTTACCTATCATTGTAGCTTCAAGTTGATGGAGCTTTTAATCAAAATATGAATTCGAAGACCTTATCAGCTCCAAATCTGACATCAATGGATTTCCCTGCACTTCCTGTTCCAGACAATAAGACCAATCTGCAGAAATACACTGGAGACGAACTCCAGCAAAATGTTAATTCTTATGGGTCCTCTGAAAAGGACAATATGCTTTTGTTTAGATCCAATTCCTCCTTAAGTGCTAAAGGCGCCACTGATTTTGCTTCAGCTGTTCGTAAGCTATCACCCCAGGATCCTTGCTTATGGAAGTATGACAGAAGTGGTTCAGCTGATATTGCTGTTGGTTCAAGTAGAAACTCCCATGCTCTTTCAGGCTCCTATCATACTGGTGCTGGAAGAAGTGCCTATAGTGATAGGATGCAGGGCCGTAGCTCTGCTCGAGCTGCTCCTGCTTGGCTTGAGACTGGAGAAGCAGTTGGTATTTCCTTCTACTCTTTTAAGCCTTTTGGCTCCAATGTAAATTTCTAATATTAACACTGATCAATATTACAGGCAACTTATATACTGAAGTCCGTGAAGAAGCTCGTGATCATGCACGTATACGAAACGTGTATTTTGAACAGGTAAGCTTATGAGTATGCAGTTTTTCTTTGCCATTGCCGTCTTGTTTCTTGGAGACCTTATTTAGTTCTCCGAATCTCTCATCTCTGAACTTTGGCATATCGAGAATCTTTGACAATCTGTCTTGTGTTTAGCTGGAAATATCAATGATATATTCGTATGGGTATAGTTATGTAATTTGATTTTTCTACCTGCCCTTAGGTTAGCGTCTCTTGAGAGGCATAGGGGTGTATGGTAGTGGAATTTGGCATGGAGATGGCCATATTACATGAGAATGTTGTGCTTATGGAAATTGCTACAAAGTGAAAATAATACTTCCTCCTTTCCAAATTAGTTGACACGTTTTGACTTCTAGCTCTATTCTTAAACTTTACTTTGACTACCATTTGTGAATCATAATATGAAAGATATAATCAAGTGGGGTCTTGTTAGATCTGTTCCAATGTGTACTTAATTACAATTTAATTTTTATTTTTTTATTTTTATTTTTTTATTTTTAATAAAAGTAATTAAAGATAATGTCGATTGATGCATTGACAAATGTGATAAAAATAATGTGTCAAATCATTTGGGATGAAGTGGAATTTATCAGCCTTTAATTTTGTAATGGGATGTCGTGAGATAAAATCCAATACAATTTCCTAATGCAATGATTATCGGCATATGCGGTTGGATGTGGAGTGATAATTGTCCTTATGGTGCGACTTGTAAAGAAATTTAATGTTATTATGCTGTGCATGTTTCTGCCACATGCTTCCAATGTGGTTTTGGCACTTGTCAAAGTTCTGCATGCTTGAATATATGATGGATGAATGTATTTTATTTTATTTTGTTGGGAACTTGGGATGATCCCTTATAGATGTCCATGCTAACCTTGGGTAGTCCTTGTGGGAATCTCAATGTTATTATGGACCTGTGGGAGACTGGGGGAATGGAAACATTTGGCTAAATTATTAATTAATTGTCGGATAAACAGCGCTGGAGTTAGCTAAAACTAGGTGGCCACTATATTCTCAAATTGTCAGTCTAAGATGAATTACTTTGATGTTAGAGCTTCTTCAAGAATAAACTGATTGTTTGCAGTTGTCCTGACCTGCGTATAGGTTAGTTTTAGAGTGTTTTCTCGTCTGTCATCTTTAGAGGATTCAATCTACAACAGAATGTGTATAAAAAAAAAGGAGGTTATTGCCTCTCCCGTGTTTTCAAGTTAATAAATCATACTTTTTTAACATTCCTCTTGCACTTTATTTCTATTTCTGAAGTCGGAGTGGGGTAGGTTGTTTGATGGCCTTGTGTTAGCTGAAACCTAATAACACAAGAATTTTGCATACTATTTTTACTAATGTTGCTTCCTTTAACCCTTTTCTTGATTATTGTCATGATACACTATCTTTATTGAACAAGGTTTGTGTGTCAATCTAATGTGTCTTTTCAGGCTCGTCAGGCTTACCTAATGGGAAACAAAGCGTTAGCCAAGGAATTGAGTGTCAATGGGCAGCTACACAATATGAAAATGAAAGCGGCTCACAGCAAAGCTCAGGAATCTATATATCGTCAGAGGTTTGTTGTGACGCATTCTTTTTAACTGGCTGTTGAATGGATTGATTTATCTGCTAATCTAGCATGCGGTTTTTTGTGGAAGTACTCGGTGATACAGATGCAGTAGTCTTGCAGAAATTGGTTTACATTGGCGCGGTGACAAGGCTATGACATTGCTATTTACAGGAAGTGTATATGAAGAGTACCTTGTCTTTATATTGTTTCACTTCTAATTCAGAATGAAAAAATTTCAATTGCTGACAAATTGGTCTTTAACTTGGTCATTAACAAATGCCCAACTGGCTGGGGAGATACCTTCCCAGTTCTTTTCTCGAGATATGCAACATTGCTGCAGTTCTAATTTTGTGTTGTGAGCCTGAGAGTAGCCAGTATATATTTGTGATTGCTTTTCAGGCTTTTGTTTCTTTGGGCAGGGTAATAGGTGTGCCTTTTGATTTTGTGTGCCATGGTTATTTCATTTATATGATTTTGTTTGATCTTATTATGTTTTCTGACCTCAGTAAGGTATTCTGCAGAAACCCGATTAGCCCAGATCAGCAGGGTGGTGGCAGAGGCCAGGGAAAGGTAATAGATCTGCATGGACTCCATGTGAGTGAAGCTATTCATGTGCTGAAGCAGGAGTTGAGTCTGTTGAGGAATGCAGCAAGGCTGGCTGAGCAGCGGTTACATGTTTATATATGTGTTGGAACTGGACACCATACCAGAGGTAGTCGTACTCCTGCCAGACTTCCTATCGCTGTCCAGCGCTACCTGCTTGAAGAGGAGGGTCTAGAGTTCAGTGAACCGCAGCAAGGGATGCTTCGTGTTGTGCTATATTGAATTAGGGTTAAAACTTGTGTATGATTAGGATTTTTGTTGTTGACACACAAGAAGTCATCCATCACTCTTTTTAAGTCATCATTTTTGTGCATCTGTACATGGGAAGATAAATATTTAGTGCATATTCAGGAGAATACAAAGGGGAAAAAAAAGGAGGGGGGCAAAAATATAAGAAGGTATGAAAATGTTGATATGTAAAGAGGAGAAAATGGCGGCAGGTGTGTATTATTTTGGTTAGTGGCAGCAACATATTTTGGATAATATGGAATGTATTGTGTGTTGCACAATATATTGCAACACCCCCCAAACCACCTGCCAAATGTGCTCCAAACCCCTCTCCTAGTAGGTCTCTCACATGTATCAAATAGAACTCATTCAAATTAGTTGAAATTGTTATAGTATTTGCTCAATCCTTGTCTTTGTAATTTTACTTAAATGTGGCATGCAAATTTAATCCCCATTCCTGTCATACAGTACAGTTTTTCCTTGGTTTCATAGTAAAAAAAAAAAGAATTTCATTACATACCTCCAAATGCATCAACCTCACTTCATAGTTCAATAGATCACTATGGAGATTACGTCATACATGTATAGCCATATTACCTTTACTAAGGGGTAGTGATCATAATTATTTTTATTTACATTCTTTCTGAAACCAAGGTCGTTTACTCAGTATAAATTAAAAGGCGACAAGATGAACTGACATTTTTGTAATTGAATTAACTTTCTGGATCAAAGCTTATTATGCCTGCTCAGTTGCCAATGTGTTGCACCAACTGTATAAGGCCGAACTTGCTAGCCTTTGCTTATTTTCATTCATAAAATTGTGCTGTTCAGTTCTATTTTTTCCCTTCTTTTTGGGGATGGGGGTATTGGAAATAAATACAATCCCTTTCAGGCCCCTTCAAACTACTCCTAACAACATGCACTATACTACACATATATTTCTTATTCACTTAATAGAAGTTCATAGACATTGCTATTGTTATCCCCACTTACACGCTTCAACATTTCAAAACTTCTCCGGCTTCCTAGAAATTCAATGCGCTTGTACGTCATGCAACCAACTTCTGTTGTTCTCTCACTGCAATAAATTGATCGGAGCTGGTCAGCATGCCTTGAGTCAGTGTGAATTGCAACCTCTGTTTCATGATCTGACATATTTTCCTACAGAAAATATAATCCCCATTCAAAACAAGGAATGGATAATTACAAGTTAAGGCTGGTATTCAACAACCACCACCCAAAATTTTGTCTGTATGGATAATTTAAGGTAGCTTAATAAAACTACTTCGTATATAATAAATAGTATCAAATTGACGGGACCAAAGCATAATAAAAGATGAGGATTATATGGGAAACAAGAAAAAGAAAAAAGAGTTGAACACCACCACATGGTAAATGAACATATGATCAAGCTTCTAGGTATAATTTATTGTGGAGCTGCTATATCCCTATCATGACCCGAATCTACTGATGAAAAAGACGCAGCAATACTTGCCTGGTAGAAGGCATATATAAACTCCAGCAACTGCAGACAAGTAAATCCTGCGTCACTAAAATATGTTCTTGAGGAAGGGCCCAACTCAGCAAATCGATCAACTGGATACAGTATGGTGATGAAGTGATTTTTAAACACTAACTCATTCTCCTCACTGCAAAAGAGCATATGACAAAAATTGTTAAAAGTAGATGAAATGCTACTATAACTTGCAAACATCTTGCTAACATACATTTCCAGTGTACCTGTAACTATTGCAGCACAACTTTTTGCTACAATCAAAATTAGAAAATTTCTTGACCTCTTTGTGACGGTAAATGTGTGTGTGCATGTGAATTAAATGTGTGCATGTACTAGATCAAATACAAGTGCCACGCAAAAAGAATCCCAGTGTGAATTCTTGCATATGCTCATTATTAAAAGTGTGTGCACACACACCTATATACCATTACTTCAACGTCTCTATACAACATTCTTGTTGTACTTATTAAACATCAACCTATCATCTCTAAGCAAGGCTCTTGTCCAAGGCATGGTACATACGGGGCCTTAGTCTTATATATTTGCACAAGAAGCTTACACCAAGGCAGCTAACTTCAATTTTCAATTTTTTTAATTTTTTTTTTTAATTTTGTTTTATTTATTTTTTTATTTTTATAAAGGTCAATTTAGAGATATGTATAAATTTCCTGTCAAAAAAAGAGATATGTATGAATTAATCCACTATAATTGAGAGCCTGAATGTTTCTTACTATAGTCCCTCTTCAGCTTGCCAAGTATGAACTGTGTGACTTACAAGTTCTAACAGGCTGTTCTCATTAGACCCTTAAAATTGTAAATCTCCTCGCAACACACAAGTATGGACCCGGTAAGACATTTGATTAGTCCAAAATTAGCTAACTGACAAAGCAACTAGAGCACCTCTAGAGTATCACTGGGAAATAATTCATGCAGGTTTGAGAAATGCTGGTATGGAGTGGTACAACAATGACAACAACAAAGCCTTAGTCCCAGAATTTTGGTAAAGTTGACTGATATCATCCAAATTGAAATCAAAAAGGCTAGTTTAAATAACCTTTCGGTAAGTGGTCGTAATAAATTTGAGAAAGAAGCTTCAGATTCAACATGATCCCCTCCAACAGAAAGCCCATGTTTGTGCATCTCAAAGTTTTTTTTGGATGTAAGAGAATCTGCATATACAGAAGCCCTAGAAGTTGGCTCGGAGATAGACCAGCAGATTGAGTCTAGAAGGCTGCTGGGGTTGATTGGACGCAAGGGTACTTGACACGACTGCAACCAAAAATAAAGCCTTGTCAGGTCACTCCCAAAAAAAAAAAAAAAAAAAAAAAAAACTTGCATTGTTATCTTCATATACACGAAGTTTTGAATGTCAAACAGATCTCCAAATCATGGCCTTGAAAAAGTACAGAGTAAAAAAGACACACAAATAGGAATTTCGTGTTAAGGCCCACCTTTTGAATAGAGCTTTTTCAATAAAAACCACTTTTATTATTGTTTACACAAAATCCACCCTTCATTATACTTATCCTTGCCATTTACCACCTTCCTGTTAAAAATGATCTAGAATGGAAATGAACAAGGCATAAGTCCAAAGAGAATGAATATTTTGTTTTTACAACTAAAACTACCTTAAGAGGCCAAAATGTATCACTTTGAGAGAACTATCACACTAATTACAAGTAATTCTGAAGAAAAATAATCAAAGAAAAAAAAAATGGGTATACCGTATACCAACCAAGAGGAGTAGAGGACAGGTTATAATCAATGAGAAGAGCTACAAACATAGTCTTAATTCCTTATTCAAGAGTGAGAATATATTAAAAGCCCCACCGTCAGTTACTCTATTGCAAAGTAGATTTCATGGCAATATGGGTCTTGAAAAGAAAAATATGGCTCCTTAGAAATGAGACCATACATGAAGGCTTAACTAAATAATGTACCACATGCCACAAAATCCAAACCACGACTACTTGTTTTCCATAACCCCCAAAAAGCACACCTGCAGTAGCTCTAATATAGTAAAGGGGCGAACTATAAACCCATGAACCCTTATGTGAAGCAAAACACTTTCTCCAGAAAGATAAAAAGCCATGAGTGTGATGCAAAAGGATGGCATATGAGCCACAAAAGCTCTTTGCCTTTCTAAAATTATTTAGGTATTATCATCAGGGTATGCTCCTAACTTTACCTACCTTGAGAGGCCTCCAAAAAAATAAACTTAAAGAATCATTGATATAAAAAGCAAAAAAAGTAGCATCGTGAAGTGTAAAATTTGGATAAAACAAGAGAAGCGGATACAAAAGACCTGCACCCCTTTTATAAGTCTTTACAAAATTTGATAAACTGATCATCTAAGATTTAACTTGATGCAAATAATTCAATTTTGTGGCTTGGTGGCCTTGGAGCATTATTGAACCAAATTTAGATTCAAAGATGGATTGACAAACATTTGGACTAATTAGAGCCTTAGATGTGGCTGTGGATGGATACCTCTGGACCTAACCAAACCTTACTTATAACTTAAATAGATTTTGTTGGGGGAAAGCCATCAACAGAAAAATACTCAATTATTGCTACTCGAAACCGATAATACTTCCTATAGGACTTATACGGCTCCCATATGTACCAGGACCCTCGGGATACTAAAAGACCCAAAATAGCAATTTAGCAACCTCAGAGTATTAGGGAAATTAGGTCAATATATGCAAAATTAAGAGAGAATTAGACTGGATGAATGAGAAAGAGATCAAAAGTAGAATTGTTTTCAACAACACTTTTTATGTCTATATGCCTCATACTATTTTTGTAGGGCTAAACCAAACTCTTCTTTGTTTTAAAAACGCCTTAAACACAATTAGACTTTTAACATTCAAAATATAGAAACAAATGTATTTACTCCCACTCTTTATATCGGACAATTTAACTATGAGGACCAAGAAAATTTAATGTTTTGAGCTCCTTTGCTGCATCACCTAACTTCAAACTTCCCTTGAATAAAAAGTTTAGAACTATAAGTTAAACACCAACCTCCCCCCCCCCCTCTTAATATGAGCCCGAAATAGGAATTGTAATAAACACCATAATTACAATAGGTTTAAGACTCTACACACCTGCAAACGTCGGGCACGCCGACTTCTAATGCCGCATTTTGCAAGGTTTGCCACTTGCAGCCTTTCTTCTTGGCTAAGTTTACTTCTATCACATATAGGAATGTGATCATTGCAATTTTCCTTACAAGCATCCTATATAAAATTCAGACCAACAATCTGTCAAATGAGCCAAGTGGCAAAAATTGTAACAAATAAACTACAACACTCATGGTTTCTTAAAAAAAGAATGGCTCATTACAAAATTCCATCAATATTTTAATCAGCTAGAAGGTATAATATACCTGTCTTGCAGTTACATGTTGAAGGTTTTCAAGCATCGCTCCTACATACCTAGCCAGATCAGCAGACAATCCAACAAATCGTTGCATATATCTCTCTTTAGATGTCTTCAGAACCCACATGGGCTGTAAAATATTTTACATGAATCAATTTAGCACAAGAGTCTATGCCTAGGTTCCAAGTAATGTGTAACGCATAGCCTTAAAACGGAAAATACATAACTTTAACTGCAATACATACACTAACAATGTTATCACAGTGTCCAAGATATCTTTGTATGGATGACCCCTCACAAACAACATAGCTTGCACCACAACCTACAAACCATTGATCAACAAGCACAGCACCTTCTCGAGTAGCCACATCAACAACCTAAAATATGTCAGCATATGTTCATCAACATTGATCACAGAAGACATTAATTCAATCTTCTAAAAGAATGAAAGAAGCATGTGTAAGGATCTAGGATAACGAAGTTAAGGTATGAAAAATATTATTTCCAAAATTGATTTGTGTCCGTAATGAAAAGGTATATAAGGTTTTAGTCTTGAAAATAAGTCAGAAATACAAGCAGAAAAAAGAATAAGTACGCATAATTCAAGATAAATGGATTGCAAACAGCACATAATAGTGAACAGTATGACATCGGCTAACTCCAAAGGACCAAGGTGATGCCAAAATTAGATCTAGTAAAACCTAGTTGCATCCAATTGGTTCATGCACAAAATAGTTTTCCAAGAGTATACTACCTTTGTGTTCAGTCCTAAATCAAGCAAATACATCTGTTACTTGAGTAAATTAGGTGTTTAAAAGACTATTGTAAGACTGCATTTCATTTTGAATTTGAACTTTGTTCTCAAAGGATAAAAGGGTACTTGATACTGTGGTGATTAAGTTAAGTTATCTGCATATTAATAAAGGTAGAGTAGATAGCCAGCAAAAAAGTTGAAGATACCTTACAGCGCAGTTGAGCAGAAACATCCAAGTCGATAAATATAGAGTGGCCAGACACTTTGTTGATATCAGAATGCAATTGGTTTTGTGGGAACTGCTTCTGCTTCTGCTTCTGGTTTATCGAAACACAAGCATCCTTATCCCATTCCCTGGGGGTGGGGGTGGTCCAGACAGTATAGGGTAATTCATCTAACTTGACTGAAACAAACCGTCCAAGAATGAATTAGGAAGTTGAATTTTTCTAGAGAAAAAAGAGCACAGAAATGAAGGAATAACCATGATTGTTGACGGAATCAATAAACCATCCAAGAGTAACAACAAAAAGATGAGTGTGGTTCAACGCATGTTCGAATTTGTGTCCCCCGAGACTGTGAAGAAAGAGTCAAGGAGAAGCAACAGTACAGTATTCAGTATAATCAAGTGAATTCCCATTAACAAATAACAGAAAAAAGGATATCTGGACCAGCAAGTGGGTGCAATTGGGGTGGAGATTAGGGCTGTAATTACCGCCTAATCTTAGAGTGCCTTCCATAACTTGCTTCCTTGCTTCTGTCAATTCAACATTATCATTATCTGACGCCATTAACAGCAATCAACAGAGAAACAGAATAAAAAAAACAGACCTTTAGAAAGACCAGAGACGCAAATGACAAGGCCGGAAAAGGGAGCATCAGTCACAGATGTGGATGCGGACGTATCTCCTGCCATACCAATACGGCAATACCAACATCCACTGCCAGTTATGCCCGCAAACTTCCAACTTTAGTCCACCGGAAAATGAATATTCAATTTACTTTGCTTCTCTTTTTTAAAATTGACAACCAAGTTGATTAACGAATGTCAATTCGAATAATCAGATTGCGTTTAATGAGGACATATCGGGTTACTAAAGTATTATATCCACATGAGTTCAAATTTAATGGGAAATTCTTAATAATGATCTTAATACTTTTATTTTTCTTAAGGGTACACAATAAAAAATCAGAGTATCTTTGATAATCACCTATTTGTATTACTAATTCAATAGTAATATTAATGATATTAATCTACAAATATGACTAATAATGTGTACCGTTTATGGTAAAACTACTATTGATGTTAGCGATTCTACGATAAAACATTAAAACATGTATATTATTGGCTACTCCATCTTTGATAATCAAGTCGTGTTTAAATATATGAAACGTTTTGTTTTTTTAGTAACTTCTCTCTATTATTTTTTTTAAAAAAATGATATTCTCTATATTTTTAAATAACATTCTATTAACTAAGAGCACACCTCGTTTTATCATGTAGATAAACGAAAAGGTGGTAATCGATTCTTTTGTCATTTTGTGAGTCATGCTTTGCAATATAATACACTTTTTATTTTTAAAAAAGAAAAAAAAAACTTAGATCTAGCATCATGAACCACCGCACCACCATCTGTCCATCATCTTCGTCTTCCCCTTGCAATCTCGCTGGTGAACTACCCCCTTGCAATCATCACGAAGCCACTGTACTACCATCACTATCCCCCTGTCATCTCGCCAGTCAACCTCGAACCACCACCACCATCTCCGTCTTCCCTTCGTCTTAATCGCCATCACCATCACAACCCCAAATTCCTCTCCGAAAGGTCCTCTTTGCATCCCTCTTCTTCTTCCTCCTTCCTCAACAACCATCAACGCCTCTTCGTGACGCTAACAGGAAGACGCCCTAGTATAAAAAGGGTGTAAATTAGGGTCATATCAACCTCTTAGGACAAATTGGTGTAAATTAAAGCATTTTGAATCGCCACAGGTGATGGTGGCGGTGGTGTTCAGCTTGCTCGTGTGGAGGAAGAAGGAGGGTTGGCTGGTTATGATGGAATGAAGAACGAAGGAAGAAAGGGATGAAAAATATAAAGATGCCCCCAATTAAATAAGTGAAATGACATAGATACCCCCTAATTTCCACACCATGTTTATCAGCCTTATAAACTTGTTTTTTTTTTCATTAACTAATTGTCTCCACAAAACCCCTTACTTTCTTCTCTCTCCTCAAACTTATACTCCACTACCTATTATTTTAATATATTCAATTAACCTTCTTAAAACTCTGTGAAAGTCAAATCATTGTATTTCTGTAAACACGGAGGGAGTATTTTCTTAGAACTCATCAAGACGATAGACTTTTATTTTCTTGTAAATACAATTTAGATTGATGACCTTTTAGACTGTGAAGTCTATTTGATTAACCCTATGCATTGTGAATTTGAAGCATAGGTTAATCAAATCACTATTGCTTGAAGGCCTTTGTTGGAGGACTGTTAATGTAACAAATATTCGTGTCTGGTTGGATGCATGGCTACTAGGGACACCAGCAAAAGCTCCTACTCATGGTCCACATTATGATCCAGGTTTGCGGGTTTCAGATTTGATTGACGCACCTTCAGCTTGCTGGAACAATGAGGCGTTACTAGAAGTTTTTTCGCTGATGATTGTAAGTCCATTCTCTAAAACCCTTAGCTATTTATAATGTAAAATCTGGGTACTGGCTTGGAAGAATGAGTCGTATTAATGGCGTGGTGGATGGAGTTGAGGATGAGGAACAAGAAGCGTGCCGCGTTATTTGGAGACTAGGTGGTCCTCTGAAACTAAGCCACTTCTTATGGAAAATGTGTAAGGGGTGTGTTGCGGTTAAGCAAGAGCTCTTTCGAAGTTGAATATGTCACTCATGTGCTTTTTGATTGTCGTGCAACAAAAGTTGTCTGAAATTATAGTCACTATCGGTCTATTTTCTCTCAAAGATTGTATGGTTTAGTGGTAAATTAGACAGTGATGAGTTAAGTGTGCTATGTGCTATGGTGAGGTCCCTTTGGTTTTGCAGGAACAAGATGGTTCACGAGGGTTTGTCTCTAAACGCTTCTCAAACGGCTACTGGCTATGTAAAGCTTGTTGAGGATTATTGTATACTACCGCTGGTCCAAATTACTCGCAACTTTAGGTATTATTTGTGAGATATATAATATTACTGTCTACTTTTTTTCTAGAAAAGAAAAAAAAAATAAAAAAATAAACAGTTGAAAATACCTTATTCAAAAAAAAAATCTGAAAAGTAGTCACAGTAAAACCCAGGACTGATAGAAATTGGTCCGCACCGTTTGTGATAAACCCTATACCCAGCGTTTAAGCCCTATTTTCGTTGTTGTTGTTCTCTTTCAGTTGTTAAACCCAGAAATGGTGAAACTGAATGCAGATTTGATTTGGAAGAGTCCTCATTTCTTTAATGCTATCAAAGAGCGCGAATTAGATCTTCGAGGTTTGTCTCCTCAATCAATTTTCTAAATCTTCGTAAATTTTGTAATTCTCTGAATCATTGAGTGTTTATGTCTGTAACTTAGCGTTCTACAGATTATTTATTTGAATCCCGAATCAATGTCATTTAGGCTGGGAATTCCCCGTTCTACCATAAATTAGCAATTAGGTTAAGCAATTTTTAATAATCTTTGCTTGGTTAATGCTTATCAACAACACTTCTGTTTGATGGAATATCAATGTTATGTGTAATTGTTTGTTATTAATGGGGGAATCCCCCGTTCTGCTGGCTCAATGCTCATCAACAACACTTCTGTTTGATGGAATATCAATGCTATGTGTAATTGTTCGTTAGAGTTAATGGGGGAATTCCCCGTTCTGCTTGCTTAATGCTTATCAACAACACTTCTTGTCGCCGTCTGTTGTTGTTATCTATAATTATTTTGCTCCAAAACATCAATCGTATTGTGGACAACAATCTCGTTCTTAGATCTTTATCCTCACTATGGAAAGATCCATCAGGAACGTTTTTTCAGGTTTCAATTACTACAAACTACAATGTACTTATCTTTCTCCTTTATTTCACAGGAAACAAGATTGCATACATAGAGAACTTGGGTGCAACTGAGGTAATTTCTGTTCAGAGAGAATACATAACTACGATTTTATCTATGTAGTATGCTCCCCTCCATGTGATTGCAAGCTTTATTATACCATAATACATTTGTTTTAGGTTTTCTGATGACCCAGTTGCTTTGGGAGTTGGGACAGGAAAAATTACTGTTTGAACCTTGTTTCTGTCACGGAGTAGTCTAGCTACTAGTAAACTATTGTAAATATTCCAGATGCGATATTGTAGTGAAGCTTTCATGGAGTAGTCTAGCTACTGTTAGTCTGTTACACTATTTTAAAAGTTCCGGATGTGATATAATAGTAAAGCTTATGTTATGCTCACATAAGCTATAGCTGGTAAAATGCGCACTGTCCAGTTTTTTTAACTGCTGATTTTGTTGAATAGTTTTACTGGTGTGTCAGCTATGTCCTCACATTTGTAGTTGTAGCTGCTTAACTGAGAATACTTTGGACAATACTTGTTTGACTTTCATTTTTGCGCACTGATGTGCAGGATCAATTTGACACAATTGACTTGTCAGACAATGAGATTGTAAAGCTCGAGAACTTCCCTTATTTGAACCGATTGGGAACTTTGTTACTGAACAACAATAGGATTACGCGCATAAATCCGAACATAGGAGGTGAGATGACTCATTCACTCTCACCCTTCTCTTATAATCTGCTTGCTTGAGAAAGAGGTGGGAGCTCAGGTGACAGAGTTCCTTACATCTTCATTTTGGAGGTTGGGTGTTCAAGTCTTATGTACGCCAACTGCCATTATCTTGCTTGAATCTTTGACAAATTTTAACTGTTTGAATTTGCAGAATATCTGCCAAAACTGCATACACTTGTTCTTACAAATAATCGACTTGTCAATTTGGTTGAGATTGATCCACTTGCATCAATTTCAAAGCTGAAATTTCTTAGCCTGCTGGACAATAATATTACTAAGAAGCCAAATTACCGCTTGTATGTGATATACAAATTGAAATCATTGCGTGTGCTGGACTTCAAGAAGGTGAAACAAAAGGTGAGTTAAATGCATTTTCTCACATTTTGCCATGCAATTATGTTTGAACATATTAGTTTTGAAGATTTTTGTGCTGGTGGATTTGTTCAAAGTTTTGCAGCATTCATATCGAATTGTACTTTCTAAATCCTACAATGTTTATGAGCAGGAAACAATCGCTACCACTTTATCGGCATAGGGTTCTTTCTCTTATTGGATTTCTGTGAGATTGTGTATTTGATTACGAGTTGTGGACTCATGGTTGGCACTTGAAATGGATATGGTTTTGCGTGGAAGTGTGCACTGGTTATGCCAAACTAGCTTACATATCAAGTAGTCAGACAAAAGACAGCAATGTCTTATCTAAATGCTACTGTGGCATACGAAAGCCCTTTGACTACAAGTTTATATGCAAGGATTAAGTAAAGGTGTAGTTCTTGATTTTACCATGTCTTCAAGAACTAATCAAGAACAAAGGAGAGAATTAAAGTTGAGAATTTCCGGTCTCAATTAACTAATTTATGGCGTGAAATGACGGGAGAGTTTGAAGAGAGAATGTTTGGTGTTAGTCAATTTGGTTTGGTGTTAAGGGTTTTTACTATGGAAGCCATAAAAAGTTTCACCATCCTTTATGAATCACTTTATATACTACTATGGGAAATGGATGCATCATGGTACTTTTTAAGATATGGGGAAAGTATATTAACGAGTGTCTAGGAAGTTTATTTGAGGTTTTAAGGAATCTGCTTTAAGACTAGTTTGAGAACATCAAGAGGCTAAAGAAAGCAATATATTATTTTGTTATTGGGTTGCATTTTGGGTAATTTTTGCCACTCCCCCTACTCCCCTCCCAATTTTTTCCGGTGGAGATGGATTCTTAATGAAGATAGTCAAAGAGTATTTTCCGTTTTCGGCTTTTTGTATGTTATTTGTAGAAATTATCTTGTTAGTGGGTAGTACAAG